TGAACACACTTCTGTGGCAGTTACTATGCAAAGCTACATTACAGTGGTGCTTGAATAAAGACAGCCTGACCCTTAGCATCCATTTCAGTCAAGTGGTTACCCAAGCTGTTCTGAGAACCTCGTCCCATCAGCAGTCTCTTGAACTGCGCTCCCAAACAAGGGCTCGCTCTTTCTTTTATTGAAACTGTGCATCCAGCATGAAATGGGAAAGGAAAAGTCAGACCTTTATTTTATCAAAGAAGAATTTTGCCTGTGCTGACTCCTGCTGACTTAGACTAGCATGAACACAAGCAGATGTTATCAATTTAATCCTATCTGTTGTTTGCAACACAATCCTCATATAGTTGTTGCTGCCAATAGATATCCATGCCGCTTGCACACCCACATGCACATTCATACACTATTCTGGGTGAAGGCAGGGCAAGTGTATTTTGCTTGTTTCTCTAAAATCTCTAAACAGTATGCTTTGGATGGACTTGTGTTTGATTCTTTGAGGTTTACACAGCATTCCCCAGCTGCTGTATTATTGATCCACATTCCTCTCATAGTCATTCTAGGTTACATCACTGTAACCTAGGTTACATCATGGAGGCACTGAGTCTCAGGGAGGATGGAATTTTCTGGAGGTCTTAAATTGATGCATGGTTAATGTTGGATCTCTGGACTTCTGCCTAGTATTCTGTCCTTCCCAGACTGCCCTGCAGGAAAAGGCCTAGCAGAGCCTGGTAGGCTTGAAAAGTCCTGAACATCCTCCCATGACTCACTTATCACTCATCTATGCCCTCTGACTATGATGGACTCCCACTTGAGAACTTTATGAAAAGATTTTATATATATTTTTAAGGGCAAAGAGACAAAACAATGTGCTTGTGCCACTGTCTCCTGAATAGATTCTTATAAAACAAAGTAAAAAAAGGTTTTATTATTCAATTTTAAATTCCAGGCTCCCCTGAGATTATTTTGTCTTGCTGAAAGCCTCTTTATTCTCAATATCTTTGTTATGTTTATTTTTATACATATAGCAATTCATATACCCTTGTAAGAAATTTTATACAAGGAGATAAATGCTACACTATAATATTGAATAACTATTTGAATCCCTAAATAAGATAAGTAATATTGCCTCCAATACAGAATCATAATCACAGAATGCATAAGGAGCTTTCACAAGGTCATATCACAGCTCAGAGGAAGAGCTGAAAATACCATCTATCTCTACCTTCCCCCATCGCTCCACTAAAACACATTTTCTATTAACAATCTAGAAAGCACGGAAGTTCTGTCAGAAATCTGTATTCATGGTGGTGTTACCCGCATCTTCTTTGCAGTTTCTATTTTCTAACTTCCAAATAAAGATAAGAGGAATGTTTTGCCAAGGTTCAGGTCCATCATTTTTCTCTTCAAATATCTTTTACTAAGCTATAACTTCATATGTGGTTGAAATTGACTCCATATTATTAGCTATTGAATTACTTTTGAAAAATTCCCAAATGGTTTCTCAATTACCTTGTGACTGAGGACAAATTGAAACCCAATGAAAGCCGTCAAGGATTCCTTACCCTCCCCCTTTCTATTTGTGTGTGTGCTATATGTGATTCTCTCTCTCTCTCTCTCTCTCTCTCTCTCTCTCTCTCTCTCTCGCTTTTTCAACCTGTATTTTTTCACATAGTGTATGTGTGTATGTCAAATCAATTATACTTATTAATCTTATTTATAACCACTCTAACATAATAATTACCCTTGATGTTACAAAGCTAAGTCAAGAGTAACAGCTACTATCCCTTTATGAGGAAAATCAACAATGTAAAAGTGTGGATAGGAATAGTCTGTGCAGTGAATAAGAATATAAAAATTCTCATTTACCAGACAGCAGCACAGGAAGACAGAAAATAGAGGCTAGCCTGGAACAAGAAAGCAATGTTCACTAAACTGATTGATACAGAGTTATTTCACTACACTATGGGGTAATTCAGCAATATTAAAAAAAAAGTCCCATTGCAGAAACAGCCATGCAATCTCTAGCATACAATGCTTTGCAAGCACTTTCAAACATGCTATCAAAATGACAGAAAGAGAAGGGTCCACTTAGACCTCCCCACCTAGTCCCCAGTCCTTCGTGGCCCTTCACAGCCTCATCTTCTCCATCAGAGAGCCCCCTAGGTCTCAGGATGCTGTGGGCAGTAATTGAGAGGATAGGCAGCTGTAGCAGAATTGAACCCTGAAACCTCCCACCCCACCCCAAAGAGAGCTGCTATGGTTTGTGTATTTGGAATGTTTCCCACAGGCACATGTGGTAAAAGTCTGGCACCCGCTTGTTGATATTGGGAAGTGGTGGGACCTTTAAAAGGCAGAGCTTAGAGAAAGGCTTGAAGGTGGTTGAGGGCAGGAGACTGAAAGGGAGAGTGGGATTTAGACTTTCCCTCCTGTCTTTTGCTTCTCAGTCAAGAGGTGAGCAGATTTGCTCTACTGTGCTGCCTTGTCCCACGCCCCAAAGTAATAGGCCCACAAATAAAGGATCAGAACCTCCAACCTGTAACCCAGGAGGTCTCTCATGCTAGGCAAGTGTGGTCTATCTACTGAGCTTCACATCCAGGTCTGCTCTTTCTAAGTTGGGTTATCTCAGGTATTTGTTGTAGTAATGGGATCTAACTAAGAGGTATTAGGTCTGACTTACAAATCGGGAAAACGAGGCTCAGCAAGGCTCAGAGATGTTGCTCATCTTACGAAAATCCACAGAAAGGAGAATCTGATCTTCTGTTCCCTCTTCAAATTCTCTTCCCCGGTTTTGGATTAGAAAACAGTCTTAGAGAGAAGGGAAAATGAACCCCAAGATTTGACTCAGAAGTCAGCCAACAGCAGGAGGAACTGGGGCTGGGCTGAGAAACCCAGAATCTGGGCCCTGCTCACATACAAGTGTTGTGTTCCACATGGGCCTAGTGATGCTTTTCATCTGGAGAGAGAGAGAGAGAGAGAGAGAGAGAGAGAGAGAGAGACAGAGACAGAGACAAAGACAGAGAAACAGAGAATTTTTCTTGCTAAAATTCTGCCTCATTCCTAGAGTTATGAGATCCAGATAACATCATTCATTCAACAATTCTAATATCTATTCCGCATACACACCTGCTTAGAAAGCTTCCAAAGAGTGGTGCCTGGCATTTATCCTGCATCTATGACTGGATGGCTGAACACATCCCACATACACAAACACTCGCTCACAAACGAGAGTAAATGGATTTGCATCTATCCTATGCACATTTGTCAATCTCTTTGGTTCATATTTGTTAGTCTCCATTGAGGCAACACTGTAAGAGATCAGATGCTTGTGTTTCAAGTGTGTGAGTTGAAAATGTCAGTAGAATATTTCTGTGTCTGCCTGTGTTTTAGGGGCTGGGAATATAACAGTGGGCAATGTAGCCCTGGCCTCTCCTTTCATGGACCTGACATTCTAGTCTGTGGCGAATGACAGTACAGGAGCAGACAGAGAACCGAGGACCATCAGGTGAGGCTGAAATGCTATGAAGATAGCAAACGTGCTGGGGCCGGGTGCCTTGGCTGTTTCTACAAGCTGGATGGCTGCATTCCTTACTTTTCTGTTGCTGTGATGCAACACGGACCAAGTCAGCTTATAGAAGGAAGTTTCTTTGAACCTGCGGTTCCAGGGGTAAGAGTCCATAATGGGTGGGGGGGAGCGGCGCAGCTGAGCAGAGAGCGAAGCAATCACGTTTCAAGCAGGCACAGTGAGCAGAAAGCAACTTGAAACCTGGCTAGGCTTGAGAACTCTGAAAGCCCACCCCCAGAGACCTGCTTCCTCCATCATGGCCACACCTCCTAAAACCTCCCCAAACAGCACCACCAACTGGGGACAAAATGTCCAAATACTTGGAGTCAATGGGGGACAGTCTCATTCAAACCACATTCATCAAGTTTTTACAAGCTGACTAGACGGGAGGAAGGAATCCGTTATGTAAACGTCTGGAAGACAAAGGTGCTCAGTGGTTGGAACCACAAATGCTGAGACCCAAGGGGAAGAGCTACCTGTCCTAATAAAGGAGAACCAGAATGCCCAGCATGGACGAGGGAAGCTTCGAAGAAGGCGCTGATAGACTGACAGGCATCAAGAACAGCCTGGCAGGCTGGATGTGCAACAGATTTCATTTGTTTTCCCATAAAGACCCCAACCCTGGGATGCCCCTCTACTAAGAATGCTTCCCACACAACAATGTGAGTCTATAGGAAGCATCCACATGCCTCCAGGACTGTAAGCCTAATAACTTATAAATTTATGCTTTATGAATTACCCGGGTTCAAATACCACGTAAGTAAAGTCTACTAAAGGAGACCAAGCCTGAGGCCTAGGAGACTTAAATATACGCAAGGGAAGCTAGCCAAGCTGAGTGGGAACCATGGTGGCCAGAGAACTGGGGAAGGCACGACGGGGCACCCTGAAGGTAAAGAGGACAGGCAGCTGCCTCCAGAGCTGCTGAGAGATCAGGCAGGGCAGTCCAACAGTGGCGGCTGCCCTTGGCAGCATGGGGGTCAGGAAGGGCCTGGACAAGATGTTGTGGGGTGCGGCCCAGCCAGATGGTGGTGTGCCAATGCGAATGCAGCTGAGAGGCGACGGGGTGCGGGCCCAACACAAGCCCAAGGGTCAGCTGCGGACAGAGCGCGTGGGCAGAGCCCGCAGCCCGAGGCTTCCCGGCGCCGCCCCTCTCCCCGCGGCCCGCGTCGCGCAACCTGGGGTCTCGAGCCCGCAGCGAGCCCTCCGATGGGGGCTGGTGTAGGCCGCCCCTCCCTGCAGGACAGCTGGGCCCCGACCTCCCTGCGAGCTCAGCGCCCTCCGCGGCGTGCACGCAGACCCGGCAGCGGGCCGAGTCCTCGCTGCCCACCGCCCCGCCCGCGGCAACCAAGCCACACGTGGCGCGGATCTTTACGCCTGCGCCCTGCGGGCCGGCGTGGTGGGGCGGTGGCAGCGCGCTCGCGCGGGGTGGGCGTGGCCAGGCCACGTCGACGCCCGGCCCCCTGCCCGAGGCCTCTGCCGGGGGAACCCTCGCCCTCCCGCCCGCGCGCTCGGCCGCCAGTCCCGCAGTCCTCCGTCTGTCGGTCTTCCCCGCTGCGCCCCTCGGAGAGCCGGCGGCGCCATGTCTTCGCCTCCGGAAGGGAAACTGCAGACCAAAGCTGGACACCCGCCCGCCGGTACTGACTGGGTTGCGCTTGGTCTCGGGCTCCGGGCGGGGGAGGGCGCGGGCAGTGTCGGGGTCCCAGCGCCCCCAGGGAGTGCGGTGCGCAGGTGAGCTGGACGCAGGTGAGGTGGGTCGGGTGCAAGCCCTGCACCCCATCGCGGGGCACATGTAGCCACCCCGGGAGGAGCACCGAGCACCCGCAGAGCCCAGTTGGACAGCTTCTTAAAGAGTTGGCACTTTGCACTTAGCTCGTACAGATCTTGGGGGTAGCAATTGAAGTACAGTGTTGTATCCGGATGATGGGTTGCAGGCCGACAGCATTGCACACTGATAGGCCAAGGGAGTGGAAGTAATTTTTATTAATCACCCAAGGTGACTTTTTTACCCGTACTTCCAGCTTTCTCTCAAAAGTGATTTTAAAAAGTTTTAAGGCAAATCGTAGACCAGAACACAGGAAGTTAAGCCCAGGAAAGAGCTGTCTTTGGGAAGCCCGTTCTGCACAGTTCCTGTAGGTTCTTAACCTGGTGTTCACATTGGTTCGTTTTCCATGTCTCCTCCCCTTTGAATGGCAGCTGATCCTTGTGGAAGCATCCTGGTGAGTTGGCTCAAAGGCTGGCCGAGGGTCTCAGAAAAACCCGGGGTCTTAGCTGCACATGTTAGTGCTGTAAACTTGGGCTTCTAGTAACAGTTTCTTGGGGGCGAGTGGCCACTCCCTACCCCCTTTTTAAACAGCTGTGCCATCCTACAGTAGATGCCCATTCTCTCCAGCTGCTGTCCCCACTGGAGGACAGGTGCTCTCTCTGAATTCTTTAAGTCTTGATGCATTCCAAAATTAGGAGTATGTTTCAGTATACCAGAACCTCTCAACAACTAAACTAACTGGTACTAGGGTGTAAAAATGGGTTTAGGAGGCTTGGGGTATTAGGAAAGGGTCCCAACAGTGAAGGAAGAGCTTTAGGAACTTTTGGGTTTGGGGTAAAGTGCAGCATAACTGTAGAACTTGTGAGGCTCCGGGTTCAAGCCCCATTTCAAACAAAACCAAACTCTTGGGAGGATTCAAGGAAAAGTCTGACCTTTGTTTCTTAATGGAGCAAACAGTGACTCCACCTGTCTGTGGATCCACAGGGCTTGGTGGGTCTGACATCCTGTGATCAGGCACACTGCAGCAATGGGCCTGATGCTGTTGGCTCTCTCAAGTTCCTTAATGTGTGGCTGTTGAATGACACCAAATCAAAGCAGCGTTAATTAAATTGCACATACACACTGTCCATATGAAGATTTAAAGATCAGAGATAGAAGACTGCACTTGGGAGAAATTTCTTGGAGAATTTCAATTTTCTTTGAATGTAAACTGCTAGGCTTTTAAATTAGAAATGAAATGGCTCCTTTATGCCTACGGAGAGAAGAATCAACATATCACTGCCAAACTGGGGCATCAGGGTTGCCTCACCTGGACCTGGAGGCTGGGCTGGATGGCGTCCCTTGGTGGGTCTGCCTTCACCGTGACTCTTGTGCCATTGCCTCCCTCTGTCCCTCTTCCAGATCTGGCCCCTGGGGTGGTTAATCTCAAGTGAGATTAGGGAGGTTCTTTAGCCCAGGAGCACAAAAGTCTAACTGGAGTGCTCAGTGTCCCGTACCAGTTCCCTGATAGACTTGGCCAGAGTTAGAGAAGAGACCTAATGCCCTTGGCCCCAAGGGGTAGGTGGAAGGTTTATAGGCTGTGGTTCTCAGCAATGTCACTCAAATTTGTTTGTCCCTGGTATGCAGAAGACCCAGAATGTAGCCCTTTTGCCGTAGGAAGCTTACCATGTGCTTTTTTAGTCTGGCATTACCGGAGAGTAGGTGGATTTGCAGAGTAAATATTTGTAAAAGAAGAAAGGGCCACTCACTAGTAAAGGATAATCAAAGATAACCAGGAATACAGTTCATAAATCAAAATAACTGCCTTGAAAACTAGGGAATGCTTTCATTAAGGGCTTAAATTGGGTAACAAACCCTCTTAAACCTTCTGTTGGAAATAAAACTCTTACTGCGACTCCTGCCGCTCTCTCGTGTCTTCTCTTCATTGCTCTGCCCCACACGTCCCCAAGGTGCCCCGTTTTCCTTACGGCACCTCCCTCTGTCCCCCACTCCTCTCCTGGCTTCCAAGTTTGGGTCCTGCTGACATCTTTACTCCCAGGAGCTGGCACAGTGCCTGGCACAGAACATGCAGTAAATAGCTCCTGAAAGTTTCCTGGGGGCCTTTCCCCCCCTCACTCCTTCATAGCGTGCCAGCAGTCTCCCCGTCTTGACTCTTGCCAGCATGCACTCAAGGTGCGATGGTCTCAGTGAGGGCGGGTGGGTGGTGGAATGGTGAAAATAGTGGTGGAAAAGGGACTGGAGTCTGTCGAGTGTTACAGCATACCGGCACAGCTCCAGGCGCTCGGCACCTCTGTGAAATAAGCAGTGCCCTGCTGTCAGGATGCTGTAGACAGTGAAACACTGGCAAAACTGTTTGGAGTGTCTGTTGCTAAACTCTGTTCTGGTTTGGGTCTCCATTGCTGTAACAAAATACTCTGACCACTCCCAACTTCGGGAGGAAAGGGTTTTTTTGTCTTACATCTCCCAGGTCACAGTTCATCAGGAAGCCCAAGATAGGAACTCAGGGCAGGAACCTGAAGGCAGGAGCTAGAGCACAGGCTATGGAGGGACACTGCTTACTGGTTTGGTTCATCCCCTGGCCTATGTTCAGCCTGCTTTCTTATGCAACACAGGCCCACCTGCCCACAGGGGTGGCACCACCCACAGTGGGCTGGGCCCTCCCACACCTCTCAGTAATCAAGAAGATGCCCCACAGACATGGCCGCAGGCCAGTCCGCAGACCAGTCCAATAGAGGAAATTCCCTAATTGAGGCTCCCTCAACCTAGGTGTGTCAAGTTGACACTAAAGCTATCCAGCACACTCTCTGAGCTGGTTTACCAGGGGACTGACTTGAAAGGCTTCTGGCTCTTAGCACCTCAGAAGCCTGGCAGAAATCATGACTCGCCAGGTGCTGCCCTGAGCTATGAGATGCCAACGCAGTGGTTTGTAAGGAGAGGAAAAAGGAAGCTGCTCTACAGACCTGTTCTTACATAAGCATGACAAACAACACACGTCGTGTTCTGTACACATCTTCCCAAAAGGAATGCAGCCTTAATGATTGCAGACCCTACCTGTGCTCTGTACGATAAAACATTTGCAGGGAAGAGAAGCTGGGGTGAGACTACTTGTTTCCCACTGCTGCAAAACTATAGTATCACAGTTAGGTTAGCACGCTCTGTTTTGTTACCTCTAACAGCAGCCATGGCCTTCCAAACAGATGGGAGTCATGATTATAGGACACACGATTACTCATCTTTGCCAGTTCCCATTTTGGCAGTGATGTAGATAAAACTCTCTTTGGCAAATGCACACCCACACCCATTCCCAGGGGAGCCAATGCCATACGTCAGTCAAGCCTCATAAGTCTGATGCGCAGTTGCATTCAGGGTTACTAATTGTATGAAAGGTTTTCTTCCAAAACGAGATTTTACACTCCCCATAGTACCAAGTCAAACGAAAATATCATTGTGAGTATTTCAAGTGAAATGGGAAATAAACCACATGCTATTTTCAGTAATCCAAACAGTTCAACTCTCTGTTACATCAATCAGTCAGACGTAGCTTCAGGATACATTTAAAAGGCTGTGGGGTGATGGTGCACCTTGAATTATCTTCTGGCAGGAAGTTTTTCAGATTATCTAGACTGTTCTGTGCTAGGAACGGAAAACGAATTTGTCTTTCATTGTCATAAGCGTCCTGTCACAGGCTTGAAGAGAGCGCTCTGGCGTTCAGCCAGTAAACCCCGCCATTGACCGTGGGTTGACAGTGCAAAAAATGTCTGTTTCCACCCCCCAGCTGAAGAAGTCCTGTGGGGGACTGGCATTCATGTCAGTAGTTTGCAGTCAGGATGGACCCTAGCAGGCCTGAGGCAGCTGTCGATGCTGCCTTTGTTCCTTAGCCATCTTTGGTTACCTTCCCCTTCTAGCATCTTCTCTGTGTGTCCTTTTCATTTTAACTGATGCCCTCTGTGTCCTGACTTGGGTTTGTGGCTGCTCTCCCGTTCCAAACTTCAGAAATAGTTCTGTTTACATAGGGAACATTCAATTTTGTAAAAAGTCCTGTTAGGTCTAGTAGGTGAGCTGGAGAAATCCAAGTTCATGTTTCTCCATTGAACCCTGACAAGGAGCAGTGTGGAAGCCTAGCCCCCTCCTCCATGACCCTGCCATGCCGTTGGGTGCTGCCGCAGAAGGATGGGTGTGGGTCAGCACACCACAGTGCTGGTGGGGCCCACATGTGCTGTGCTGTGCTGTGTGGGTTTCTATGGCAACCATAGCAAACCAGTAAACTTAGTGGTTTAAAACCACTGTAAACTTAAAATCACTGTATGCATGATTGTATTTATTTAAAGTCAAGTGGAAAATAGTCCAGTTTGCTTTTTGTGTGTGTGTCAGACCACTTTGCTTTTTTCAGTAACTGCAAAATAATTCAGTTCCTCATTATTGAGCTGTGTAGAGGGAAGGAGTCCAAAGTAGGTGCCACTGTGCTAAAGCCTGTAACCATGGCTGGCACCCTCTGCAGGCTCTGGAGAGAGTCTCCAATCTGGATTTTCCCAGTGTTAAGAGTTGGCCCACATGCCTTTGTTTGTGGCCCCCTCCATCTTCATTGCCACCAGTGACCACTTAACACGCTCTTCACCCTCTGTGACTCTGACTCTTCATTTCCTTTTTTCACTTTTAAAGACCCTTCTGATTACGTGGGCCACATGGCTGATCAAGAATAGTTTACATTCCGTTGATTAGCAGTCTCATTCCATCTGCCGCCTTAATTTGCCAGACCCAGGGAGGTAGGGACATGGTGCTGCCTACCGCAGTTATTTTTACCATTCTGTTGCCCTGGACCTAGTTAAATGGTCTTAATAGCAAGGGATGTTAGCAAACACCTAACCAAGCCCC